ATCTATATAACATTCATATTAACAATAATATTTAAATTTTCATTTTTTCTATAAAAAAATTACATTAAAAAGGTGTAATTAATGCATACACATATTAGAAAAATTCTTTTACATTTACTCTAATTAATGAGGATAGTTGGAAAGTTAGAATAGGCGTTTAGATTAATTATTCAAATATAGTTATGTCAAAGCACGCGTCAGTCTTACCTCTTAAAAAAATTTGGAGTCCCAAACTCAAAACGACGTCGTTTCTCTTAATCCTACCCCTACTATTTTTTGTCCCTTTTGGAACCACCTTCGTCTCCATCTCCCTCACTTCCTTGACTCCTCCAACCCTTCTGATCCTACCCCCATTATTTTTTTGCCCTGTTTAGAGTCATCTCCATCTCCAACTCCATTATCTCAAATCCATTTTTGGTCACCATCAGGTACAGGTTTGTTTGGCTGGCTAGAAAATAAGCATGAAAAGGAGAGAACCAGATTCCATTTCCACTTGGAGGCCAATAATTGGTTTCAATTTTTTTATCGAGTTCAAAAATAATGAAAAATAAATTTAAACACCCTTTGACTGGACTAGAGTAAAATCATATTCCCATGGAAAAAACAGAATTAAAATTTTTCTCTTGGGAAAAATGGAGAAAATCGTGCATCTGACTGATCTATGCTATAGTCGTCAATGAGAAAATGAGCAAAAAAAAAAAATGACAAGAAAAACACAACAGCAATCCAAACAAACAGCTTTCGGGATCTATAAAGATCTTATTTTCACTGCATGACAACAGCCAAACAGAGACAAACAACAGGGAATATAAAAATTTTTCTCTAGAAAAATGGAAGAATACCATATCAACAGTCTCTTTCTTGGTCTGTTTAAGACTGATACCCTTGTCGCCCATCTTGGTTCACCATTGACGAGCAAAAACCACCACAGAACGGAATTGAAAAAAAGAGAGCCTGTAGAGAAAACAAGGAGTCGAGGAGGTGAGGGAGATGGAGACGGAGACGATTCCAAACAAGGTGAAAAATAATGGGGGTAAGACCAGAAGGGGCAAAAAATTAGTAGGCGAGGGAGATGGAGATAATTCCAGAAGGGTTGGAGGAGTCAAGGAGCGGAGGGAGATGGAGACGAAGGTGATTCCAGAAGGGGCAGAAAATAGTAGGGGCACGATTAAGAGAAACGACATCGTTTTGGGTTTGGGGCACCAAATTTTTTTGGGAGGTAGGACTGATGCGCACTTTGCCGATATAGTTAATAGTTAAAATTTGAAAGTTAATAATCATTATTTTTTATAATTAAAAGTATCCAATCTATGCAATTAAAATCAACTGCTAATAATTGTTAATAAAACTTCAAACCAAGCACCCTAGAGTGTGTTCTTTAAAATGAAGTCATTACTAATAAGTACAAAATTGGAAAAAAAAACCTTAATACTATGTTAAAAATTGAAATGTGGTTTTATAACCTATGCTTGTTGATGGTGCAATTAATACACATTTTAATCAATAATAATATATATAAAAAAGAAACAAAAAATATTAATTTAAGATTAATGACACATGTATAATTTTAATTCGCTAATTGATAAAATTAAGTCAATACTCATATTTTATATAACTTAATAACAAGAATGTATCTTAATTGCACTATTAACATATCTCTTTGTCCCATATTAATAGACGTTTTATGATTTTATCTTCATATTAAGGATTTGGGGATAGTTTTTTATTTTTATTTATTTGACCCTTAAAAATAAATAACTATTTTAATTAGAAGATAGATAATCAAGATTAAAAGATAATCAAAAAGTTAAAGTAGGAAAATTTTTTTTGTCTCTTTTAAAATAGGAAAAAAATAATTATTATTTTAAGATAAATTTTAAATAAAAAAAGTCTATTATTTTGAAATGGAGAGAGTAAATTCAATTGAAATCAATAAATGAATTAGATATCTTTTTTTAAAAGTATGACAAGTAAAATGGGCTTGAGAGAGTAATTTCAAGGGTGCATTTAATCAAGTTATTGTTGTTTGTTTGTTTGTTTTTATTGTCAAAATTTAAATAATATTAAATTAAAATAAAAAAGTTGAATAACTAAGAAAAGTTTTAATTCTATTTATCAACAAGTTGAGGATTTCAGTTTTCAATTATCACTTTTAATTGTCATTTTTGGTGTTCATCCAAATAAAAACAGAGGGAATAGTTCTTGTATTATGTTGAATTACAATTTATATCACTCCTAAACATCTGAACAATCAGCATATCACAAATTGCAAACAAGCACAGTAAAATCAATCATTAATTGAACACCTAAAGGGATAGTAGTTCTCTTTGGGGAACCAAAATAGGGGAACTTCGCTTCTCAAATTGTTGAACAGGGTTCAATTGTGAGGAGAACAAGGCGAGAATAAGGAGCTGTCCAAGTGAGAAAGAGTGATGATGGCATGGCACGAAAATGACAGGGTGAC